TAATCCAGTCTGGACTCTAGCACACTATATAGGTGAGGCTAGCCTGGAAACCCCGATTGCTCTGCTGGGATCACAGAAAACTGCCACCATACCAGTCAATGGATATTTCTTATGTTATCCATCACTTTGTACAGAACATTTACACAAAAGAAATGCTTTTTAAAAGAAAGGTAACAAAAATTGTAGAGAAGTGAAGCTAGAGCTCCTGAACTTTCTTATTATGAATTCCTTTATAATGGTATTATAACATAAATCACATTATTATTTAAGATATTCTGACATGCTTGATTTGTGCCCACAACCAAACGCATCCCTAATGGTACATTAGCTGAGGAAAGAGAGGAACATGAATAGAAGAGAGGAAAGACATCAATGTTTGCAGGGACAAAGGAACAGGACTTAAGGGAACCTAACCTTTGGAAGGTATTCATCATTTTTAGTTTACTTAGACTCCGCTAAAATGGACCTTTCTTATCACCTGCTCTTAGACGGCGTCAGTTTTTTACAAACATCCGGTGAGGTTGGTAGTACCTTCCCTAGCAGTCAGCAGTATCCTTGAGTATTGCCTAGCAGGATAGTATTTTCCCCTTGAGCAGAAGCAATGCTGACCACGTTAAACCAAGCATGCTGGCTCATGTTTGTGGCAGCTGGGACTTTGAGAATGAGGGGACAGAAGAGTAACAAGGCGACATGACTTGTTGGCATGGGTCATCTGGACTGAATGAAAATGGAAGAATGAAAGCAAGGGCTGGCTAAGAATGGAGAGAGGAAATAAGGGCAAGACTCGGAAGGAGAAGTTAGCATATCTACCCGGGTGCGTGCTGCAGTGCCCTTTCTTATGCCCGTTAAGTCTCAGGCTAATTACTTGTTTTTAAGTCTCAGTTTTCCCATCTAGGAAATGGCAAAAATAATGTTAATTACTTCATAACTTAGGAATGCAATCTCCATTTATAGAGATAAAGCATTTAGAACAATGTATGAGGAGTCAACAGAGGTTACTTCTATCATTATAATCCTATGCTCTCAGGATACAAATATAATTTCTGTGCTACCTGAATTCTAAAATTATTCAGAGACACAAATGCAACTAAATTCCTAGTGTGGCATTTCTGTCAGGTATTTTAGGATTTAGCAGATTAAAAGATATCATTCAGGTCACCTTGATTAAAATATATCTGCTATGAGACTACATGCCATTGTCCTTAGAACAGATTTTCTTTCTTCTGTCATTTGTATATTTCTAAATCTATTATCTGTCAGCTACTTGCCATTTCTTTGATAATCGTGAGTTTGAGATACTGGGAGACACTTGTGACTTTCTTAAGTATAACATGTTAATCTTACTAAAGCCATGACAAAGAAAACAAGTGGATACTTAATAAGCTTGTGTATGAGTTGTTACATTATACCAGATTCATAAGGAGCTGTTAACACTTAAAGGATTAATCATAAATTTCTTTTGTTTTCCATTTATAACTGTCACTCAGAAAAAGATATTTTTTTTTTAAATGTAACTTTTAGTTATTAACTCACGGGCACATCGGGATTTCCATTATTTTTCCTTCTATCCATGCACACTCTTTGAGAATGCTAATGGGAGCCCCTGAAAAGAGTTCCAGAAGTGAACAAATGAACAGGACCTGGGATAATTGGGAGTCAGCTGTAGTGTTGTTATGTATTATTTTCTATGAGTAGTAAGTAGATTTTAGATATACTCATAACCTGGAGAGACCCTGAAGATTATATATATATATGTAATTGAAGGCCACATTTATTTGATAGCTACTTTATTTTTTTCTATGAAAAATGTACTTCAAAATTTCTAAGACCCAATTTCCAGCTAAATCATAAGTAAAGACTCTTGGCTATTGGATTAAATGAGGAGTCAGGAGCTCCCATCTCCTGCCAGTGAGGAGCCCTCAAAGCTACTTCAATGGGACAGCAATCAGTTCTGCCTTCACTTTGGGACTTCAGAATCAATTGAGATGGGGCTCAGCCCAGGGAAAGTAATTCTTTTCTAAGCAAACAGAATTGCACTTGTATGAAATGATCTAGAAAGTGTATGACATGAAACCTTTCCAATCTGTGAATAATAGGACCTTTTCCCCCTTCTTTTTTGTATCTGACTTCTGAGATACTTTTGGTGATACAGAAAATGCTAGGGTAGGTAGTGCCAATTCCAGTAAGTCTTTGAAACCCTCTTTTCTTCTGGCCAAACAGTACAACTAGAATTAATTTTCCATGTTCAAAATCCAGTTTCTACGAATTTTATAATTAAATGTGCTCAGCCAACTGTAATGACCTCGTGGCAAGGAGAGGAAGAAAGGTTTTGAATCTCACATTATCAGAATAAGGGTCTATTGCAATGTGTACTAATTATATATTTAGTACAGTATGATCCCAGGGTCAAGGTGGAAGACGTGGACACCCTGAGCCTGCCAGGGAACTTGTTACATAAGCCGTGGATCTGCCAAGGTGCTGAACTGTGTCTGCCTTTCCCAACTCATGCGTTGAAATCCTTATACCCAGTGCCCTAAATGCTACTGTATTCAGAGTGATTGATCAAGTTAAAAATAAAGTTTTAAGGTGGGCCCCGATCCAGTATCATTCATGTTCCATACAAAGGAGAAATTTGGACACAGACAGGTAAAGAAAAAAGACTATGTTTAGACAGAAGGACCATGAAGAAAGGTGCCCTTCATAGGAATCACCTTTGCCAACACCTTAGGCTGAGACTTGTAGCCCCAGATTGTGAGACAACGAATTTCTGTTGTTTAAAGTACCCAGTGGGTGATACTTTGTCATGGCAACCCCAGGAACTCATACAAGCTGTATTAGCAGCTATTGAACATCCTTTGAGGTTCTTTGTCTGCACAGAGTGAAGGCTGGTCCACAGCAGAGACCAGGTGCTCCTCAGTAAGGATCATCTTGAAGTGAGAAGTTTGGTACCCAATAGCTCAGGGACTGTTAGAGTAGGAGGAAGGGAGAGACAGTATGTGGAAGAGATAATTTTTTTTTTAGTGTACCAAAAAGTCCTCCTTGAATTTATTACAAAAGTGTCGCATGTTCATTGTAAAAAGTACTGAGAAATACAGGGGAAGAAAATGTAGAAACAACATACTTGTGATTTCATTTGTTTTCCAGACTTTTCCATGGAAACACAAATCTGTGTACATAGTACATAACATACATGTAAATGCACATATCTGCAAGCATTCTGATAGGTTTTGCTGTGTAGGTCTGTAGGGTCAGACTGTCCTTGGTCTCATGATCTCCTGCCTCAGCTTCCTAAGTCACACGCATGCATTCTAGGCATGCGTCATGACATCTGGCCAATGGTCACCCTTTCCCATCAGTCAGACCCATTTCCAGCATCTGATCCTGTGTCACGCAGCAGTTATATTCTAGAGATGGTGCGGGTAGGTGGATGTGTCTAGTGTTTGGCATCTGCTACAGGCTTTGATATCTATTTGCCAAACCACCTTACAGGAAGGATGTATCCATTTTTATTATTGTCCTTTTCAAGTCCAGCAGAAAGCCTGTTACCAGAAACTATATAGGCTTAGTTGCCCAAAGGCTATCTGCGAATTTCTTCCTAGGGATCAAAGTAAGGAAGCTAGAGGACACTGAAAGCTGAGCTAGCAATGACTCAGGATGTTGCAAGTGGCTTGATGAGCAGCACACAGCACCAGAGGATGAGGCATTTCCCGGCTTAGCAGAGCAACAGGTGAAAGCAAGCATGGCAGGACCGGCATGTCCTTGCCGCTGAGATGGGAGCCAGGTAGGGCCATATCAGGTCAGCATCTAGGAGACTATTTGGAGAACATGACATGAGTAGGGGTGTGGAGAGTGAAGAAGTGTGAAGGAAGGACTAGCCTTGCTCACTGGAGAGAGGAAGGGAGGTCTCTGAGGACCTCTGAGGAAGCTAGGAGGGGCTGTCAGGCAGAGGTTACAGGGGTTGACTGCAGGGATCTGTGATCACACTGCAGCTATGACCCCAGGCTGTTCCTCTTGTCCCTGCCCCCCCCCCCGGGGGGTGGGGGCTTTGAGAGCCTGGGAAAACACAGGTTATGCTAGGGAATGAGAGAATAAGGCCTGGTGACCTTTGCAGTTTGTATGCATTAATGGGAGATGCTATTTGACTCTGGTCCTTTGCCCAGTATAAGGGATCCCAAGGGGGCACACTTAAAAGGAAAACTGAGTTAATTTTTGAATGAAAAAAATATTTCGTAAACATGAAAATTATGTGTCATTCAATAAAACGTTGGCAAGAAACCTTCTGGCACATGAGAAGATAAAATAGGTTCGTGCCTCTTGGGAGAGGATTTCATTTATCAATAGAAGGCTGCAGGGCTCTGCACAGGAGCAGTTCACAGTGAGCAGCAGTCTCTGGGTTTGTGGTAGGTGGACTGTGGGAGAAGGGAGAAGAATATTTTCCTTGTGTCCAGAAGGGAGCTGCTACTGTTCCCATTTCAGGATACTCACAAAGTGCCTGCTCATCCTTCTACTTTGAATCTTTGCTGGCCAGACACACTAGCAAGGAGGTCACAGTCATCTTGAAATAAATACAGTCCAGATAAGAGGGAAGAATTAACAAAATGGTTCCTTCCTTCCTCCCTTCCTCCCTTCCTCCCTTCCTCCCTTCCTCCCTTCCTCCCTTCCTCCCTTCCTTCCTTCCTTCTCTCTCTCCCTTTTAAAATGGGGTACCAGGCACGGTTTAAAATGGGGTACAGGCATAAAACCCAGGACCCTGCACATGCTAAACTCTAACCTCACTTTGTATTTCTAGCCCCGCCCTGCCTTCTCTGAGATGTAGATTTAGCTATCAAAGTTGCTTCTCAAAACTAACTTGTCTTCTGTATATTTACACACAGCAATGAATATATTTCCAATAAAAGCAAACAATTTCTCATACCTTCAATAGCACCACAGAGAAGGAATCATTTCACAACTGCACAGCAGCCTATCACGCTAAAAATAGTCATGAGAACCAAGCTTACCGTCTATCACCGGCTTTGGCTGCGAACTCTTGAGGCGTAGTGAGGGCCTGAAGCGGGTTCGGTCATTGAAGCTCCAGCTCTTCTGCACTTTGGTGGGGCTGCCCTCAGCAGTGATGTCCGTGCTCGGGGACCTCCTGTCACCTACCGATGCTTGCCTGCTCTTAATGCTTTGGCCTCTTGGGCTAGCCATGCGCACTCGCTCCTTAAAACTCAGCTTCTGACTGTGAAGAACAGAGCCATGATTATTCCATCTCAAAAACTCCCTTCCATTCCACATGGTCAAATGATTTGATGGAACTGTATAATGTCATATACACCAATGGCAAGAGTGTGTTCAGCAAGTAGGAGCATAGAAATAGATATTTTCCTTTTTGAAAAAAAAATTAGCTTTATTTGATCATGGTGTTTGTATTCATTTGAGATCGGTCTCACTCTTAGGGGTATATGCATGCTTCTTGCATTTATGTAGGAAGAAAAGAGACCAGGTACAGCAGTTTGTACCAAGTTTCACTGAAGATAATCAAGAATGGGTGTGGAATTCACTTTCAAAACTGTTGGGTGATTTGTAGCTTTCCCTCCACTGTTGAGTTCTTTTTTTTTTTTTTTTTAAGTTCTTTTTTATTTGTTTGTTTGTGAGATCTTTCTTTGTAATTCCTAAGCATCTCTACTGGTAAACAGGGATGATGATTACATATGTACCTATATTCAGCATGCATTGTCTATCCCAGGCAAGATTATGATGTCCATAAATTCATGCAGTCTCAAAGCAATTGACAGCACTGCACACGTATATTAAACACACAACACTTGACACTACATTCTTCATTCTTGGGAAAAGAGACCACACAGGGTGGAACAGCCTCAACATGTAATGAATGGGATGATTGACAGAATGAGATGCAATGCTCACTAGCACAATTTCCTGCTATGAACAAGCTATTGATTTGCTGTGGCAGCTACTGGTAAAATCACATTCGTTTAAACGTTCTGTTCTCTGATGCCAGGTAGGATCGAGCAGCCGTGGGCTGATCAAGGATGTATTAACAACAAAATCCCAAATGCATCTTCATCCTTTTGTGGTTAAGACATGTGTCATGTGTGATGTGCTAGGAGAAGCAGGTAGGAATCATAGAGACATGGGCTGTGGAGTTCTCTGGCTCATGTGAAGGAAGACAAGAGTAACAGAGCTAAGGGGGGGGGGTGTCTCACAGTAATCAAATGAACTGTGGAGAGTGTTGCACGCCCCAATTTTGTTTTCTTGTTTCATTTATAAAGTGCTGTGCTGTTCATTAGAAAGCAGCACATTATTATCAATGTGAGGGGCCCAGTGCTCTTCAGGGACTGAAGAAATAATGGGGCAATGGATCTGAGGGTGAGTCGCTTAGCACAGCTCTCGTGAGTCATGCTGCAGCCTTTGTGGGGGATGAAGGCAGCGTGCTTATGGATAAGGACTGTCTGAGACCAAGTGAAGGCCTTGTCTTTTCCACTTACCGCAGTGTCCACTGTCCCCAGCTGCAGCATGCCAACAGCAAATGTGTTTAGTGGATATGTGTTTGGCAGCTAACAAGAGATAGTAACATTTGTTTTCCCGTGCCTAGTTGCCTAACATCTAGTGTTCTAAAAAGGTACCATGTTTAATGGAGATTTGCTTACATGAAACAAATCAAATCATGAACAATGGTGGTCCGAGAGTCCGGTTAACACTAAAGGAGTTGACCATGCAACTGACATCTCCTGTCCCAAATGCAGACACAGCCACTTCCAGCACAACCAGCTGAAGGCACATGCAGGCTGGGCAGTTTTGTGATGAGGTCACGTGAGTTCAAGAGCTCTGTACAACAGCCCCATCAATCACAGGGTTTATCTGTACTTGACAAATGTATGATTAAATGATAGATTACATTAAACAACAGCAACAGAAAACATCTTAAGACCACATAGTTTTATACTCTTGTGATTTAGAGAAATCTGTCGAAGTGATAGGTCAAAAATATTTACTTTTCTCTAAAAAGTTTTTAATTACAAAAATTTCCAATCTTTTTTTTTTTTTTAATTCAGTGCATCTCTACAGACATGTGTTTAATTCTGCACCTTTATTTTGATGAATGGCTGCCTCAAGCAGACACAGCCACCACTTCAAGTGCCATCACTGTGTTGATTTGTCTCTAACCTTTTTGGAATTAATGCTAATTACATAGAAGGTTGAGTTTAGAAGCCAGAAAGTGGTTTTTCTCCCACTGCCAAGATAGATCTCCCTCCTATCCCAACTAAATGAACAAGAAACTGGTTAAAAAAAAATCATAAAACAATTAACATAGCTTTTATTTTATTCTTTTTTAAGAATTACAATTTGAAAAAGGTGGAAACTTTCTAAAATAAAGCAGCATCAAATTTACCATGATTTATTTATGATGACAAGAATGTTTAAAAATTGCTCCTGTAAAATGTATTAATGATACCTCTATAAATTAGTGAAAGGTGGGAGAATAATCTCTAAATCTCCACACATTAAAATTGATATAAATTAATTCTAGGCACTGTTTCCTTTTTGGGTTTCTTTAAATTTATTTTATTTTATGTGTTTGGGTGTTCTGTCTGTCTATATGTCTGTGTACCCTGTGCATGCCTGGTGGTCAGAGGCCAGAAAAGGACATTAGATCCCCTGGAAATGGAGTTACAAACAGTTGTGAGCCACCACGTGGGTGTTTGGATTCCAACCTGGGTCCTGTGGAAGAGCAGCCAATGCTCTTACCTGCTGAGCCATCTTTCCAGTCCCATACCCCCCTCCCATCCTTTTTTTCTGGCTTTTTCAAAGTACAAGAAGATTTGCTAATGTCTAACATGAACCCCTCCCCCAAAAAACAAACAAACAAACAAACAACCACTAAATTAATGTGTGGTCGCTTATGCCTTTAATTCCAGCACTTGAGAGGCAGAGACAGGCAGATCTCTGTTCAAGGCCAGCCCATTTATATAGCAAATTCCAGGCCTGCTAGGGTTATATAGGGTGACTTTGTCTCAAAAAACAAAGCCAAATCAGACCAGACCAAACCAAACTAAACCAAAACAAAACAAAAATCTAAATTAAATTCAACAAATTTTGCATACTAAAATAGAGAAAATGCAAAGTTTTCTTTTGTCTTTAAGAGCATGAAAGTTTAGAAGAGCATCCTAACCCAGAATGAGTCCCCCCCTCCCCTCCCCAGGGAAAACTTCTGTTTGTGTGCCCTCTAATGGAAAGTTTTCTTTTATTGGTTGTTCTACTTCATTTCCCCGTTGGAAATCAACAGAGCATCTTGATCAGATGACTAGTAAACTGATTAGGTGGCTGTTATTGAAAATACACATCAATTAAAATGATAGATACTTCACTGATACAGAAAAGTTTCCATTACTTTCTTGGTTTTTGTTGACATTTATAAACATGACTTTTGAGGAAGAGTTTCTGTCACAGCATTTTCAGGAAGCATGCCAAGGATGATCCCCAGGAGAGCAAGTAAGTCTCTCTTTGGAGAAAGGAAGCAAAAGGTCGCCATGGTCGTTGATTGGGGCATCTTAGTACGCAATCCCCTTTTCCCAGCTGAGCCCTGTGCTCAAGGGAGCCTGCACAACTGCTCTGCAAGGGAGTTTCACCCTTCTCTAGAACCAGATGTCCAAATCACTCTGATGGCCCAGCATGCACTCAACTGTTAGATGCTCCCTGCCAGGGAATCTTGCGGCATCATAACTCCGCAGTAATCCACTAGGGTTTACAACGCCGCCGCTATTGTTGTTCATAATTAGGGTTTTAGCCCTTCCTAGGATAAGCACTCAACTAACTGTCAGCCTCAGGCACAATATGGCAACCCAGCCATTAACAAACCAGCGCGTGCAACAGCTTAGCAGTTGTCCAGCCACAAGGAGGCGCCAACAGGCTGACTGCCAGTACTCTGCCTGCATTGTTGTTGTTTTTTTTTTTCCTTTTGTCCCCGTGGTAGATTATCAAAGCAGGCAACAGGCAACAAGGAAAATTCCAAGCGCGCTGAAGACCTCATCCAAGAAGTCCCTAGGAGAGTGAGTCTGTAAAGAGGGCCCAAGTGTACTGGCGGAACCCGGTCATGCACCTGAGGTTAGTTGGCATTCTCAGATCTCATGTCAACATCTGGGATGCTGGGTACCTCTGCTTCCGTGAGGTGTACATTCTGAAGAACTTCTGCTTATTATTACAGAACTTACTAGGAGTAAGGGAAACAGAGCAGCGCATTACTGAGCGTTTCTCTGCCAGCACAGGCTGAGGGACTTCTTTTTCCAAACACAAGCCATTTGACTTTACTGTTTATTTTATTTTATTTTGCGAAGACAGAGTAGGGAAGCAGCTAGCACTCTGCAGTTCAGTTGTGCTGCCTGAGATGCAGCCAGTGTCCTTACGGTTAGGCTGCAACAATTAGATTGGAAACAAGCATCACAAACGATGGTAGTATGGGTTAGGCTCTGTTTCATATGAAATGGGAAAATAAATATTGTAGAGTACAGCAACTTCTGTAACAAAACATCAAGGAATATAGTGTAAATAATGGGGAGTCAAATATTTCAGGAAAGAATGATTATTTCTATAAATTAACGAAGTAGATAACATTAGTTGCTTTGAAGTTAAACACACACACACACACACACACACACACACACACACACGAGTTCTTGGTTTGTGAGATACTGAAGTTATAGTTAGTATAGGTAAATGGTTGTCAGGTTGAATACCTGTTCAAAAGTAAACAGGAGAAAGGGTTTGTAAAGACCAAAACAGTTGCTTATTTATTAAGTCCTTGGCTATTTATAAAAGAGTAAATCCTTTCCTTCTATAAATAATGTGAGCAGATGGAAAGATTGTTTTTAAACCATTTAATATTTTACTCGTAAGGACCAGAGCTGTTTATGCTGAGAGAAGAGTGAAGTCTGGTCTCACTGAGTTTAGTTTGACAATGCATGCAGGTCATTCACAGGACACAGAAGAAAAGAAAGTAGTAGGACACAAGCGCAGGAACACACAGTCTCTTCCACAAGCATTCTAGAGTTCTTCCCCAGGAGCCACACAACGAGGTCAGACACCAAAAGAGTCAACATTCTGGAGCGGTTCGGACACAGCACTCAATGGAGTACAGTACACGAGTGTAATGTCGCCAGACAATGCCACCCGTGCCTTGGTGCCTTGGCGTGTGTGACATGCATCTTAATTCATTTTCATGGGTGCTTGCTAAAGTAAACTTAGATAGTTGGCTTTTTTGGAAGGCTGAAGCGGCTTTAGGGATGCTTTAGGAATGGAAAATAAGGCAGTGTGTCTGAGGCAGGGACACAGTCTGCCACTGTTTACCCAGTAGACAGGACAGGCAGGGAGATTTACAATTACCCCCTCACTCTCAGTTGGCATCATCTGGTCTTGTAGAGATAATAAAAGCTTAGGCAAAAAGTAAAAGCCCTTCTTATATCAATGCAATGATTTGCTGGCCACTTTGATGACCGAGTCAAGGAGGAAGGGAGAAAAGATAGGAAAACTCCAGGTCAAAATACTGTGACAGGATGGCCAGATGAGTTTACAGGTAGACTCTCTTCTCTGAAAATGACAACATACACCATTCAGGGAAGGACTTTCCCACTTAAAAAACGAGTTGGAATGCTACTCCAAGAGAGGATTAATTAGAATAGAATCAAAAGATACATTACCACATATTTTTTGATTAAAACTATTTTAGTGAGAAGGTGGGGGAAAGAAGTATAATGGAATAATAATGCCAAGGAAGTTGGAATTACGGTTTAAGTACAAGAGGTACCTGACCCTGTATCCAAGATAGCCAACGAATCATGATTTTCATTATTATTTAGTTGGGCTATATTTATAAAAAGCTTCACTTTGGATCTTATAGTTTGCAGTTTTGAATAAAGATCTTGTATCTTTCACCGTGTTTCTTAGCCTGGGGTGTCATAGATGAACTTTGTTGAAAGCATATCTTAGCTTCATAGAAAGTAAAACTTCTCTTTTCAACAAGAACACCCCGAAGCAGTGAACATAATTAACCAAGGGTGACTGGGATGGGTTTGACCTGATCCATTTGTATTCTGTGTTTCGTTTCCTCAGTGGTTGGGGCTCTTGTTCAGTGGCAGAGCCAGTCGCCTGTGTGAGAGGTGCTGCCTGCAGTCTTGGACTCATCTGCAGCTTTTAACAGAAAGGAAAGCCACGAGGAAGGATAGAGGAGATTCTAGGGTCCAAGGTATCCAAAGGATGAAAAGAGAATCAGCTCCTCCTGGGGCTGACACTTGTCTGCCCTGTTTATCTAAACCACATCAATAACCCAATGACCACCAAGGGAGCGAAGAACGCCGGAGTTGGATGGTACCAATTATTTCATTCATTTGAAATGAGGTCAAGCATTAATTAACAGTATTCCGAACCCAGAATTGCTCTTCTCTAAGGGAGAGCTTCATTATAAAGGCGTTTTCTGTTGTGCACAGTTTGCCTCAGTAAGGACAGTTTTGTTATTTTCTAAGTTGTCACTGCCATTACAATAGTCTTTCTGCATTCATTATTGCAATGTTATAAATTCTGTTGTCTATGGAGCACAAGGGAAAAGCTAAGGCAATAATAATACATTGGGAGCCTCATGCATATACATTTTTATGATATATGTCAGCTATTTCCTTCAGGCTGTTGCAGTGTTTTTTTTTTTTTTTTTTT